TGGCCCATTGTCCTGTTTTTATGCTATAAAGCAATTTTACTTTTCCTAAAGTGATTCAGCAGATATCCGGAGTCACACACAGAGTGAAAAGAAACACAGAAGAATGTAAGGCCGTTTACGCCAGAACTCTGCCACAAACTGCACACTTTGTAGAAGTTGACATCCAATCAGAGGTGCGCTCGCTAAACTCCAGTGCTGTTGTTGTGGCTTAATGATGAAAATCCACTTTGCTAACTTGTCTACATGGTATTTTTTTGATATGCCAGATGACAGATTATGAGCCATGGTTGAGCACTTGAAACTTCAAAATGCAATACTGACAGCAATCTCAAGAACAGATTCAGACTTCCAGCCTTTTATACATAACAAAACAAACATCAAATCCTGTGAACTTGCAGAGCGGGACTTTCTGTATCATTCTTCTTCTTCTTTAGAATCAAATTCCAAGTGGCTGAATTATTTTATTTACAACTTGCCATGGTGTAGTTTTGCTTTACAGAGTTTGATCAGCGTCGTACCTGGTGTGGTCCAGCTGCAATGGCTGGAGACAGACTTTGAGTCAATATCTACTTGTATCAGACAGGTGCCTCTTATATTTTACATGTGTGAAGCTATTATTTTTTTCTTCTATGCTGCGTAGAGCTAAACTGACAGGTCTCTCTTTTTTGTAGTGAAGCAAATGTTGCTCTCAGTTTCTTAATTGTGAGGATTTACGGTTTTGTTTGTCCTTTGTCTGATGGTTAATTAAATATGTTTTGTTTGTTAATAATTATAATGCAAAATAAACTGAACATAGTGGAAAACATTTTATTGAAAAGTGCTTAGAGGTCATCATTATATTTCTTGAAAAACTAAACTAAACAAAAACCCCAGAATCACCCTAATATTTAATTTAGACTTTAGTTTAAACTCTTTTTATGACTGATTATTTGAGGGATGTATTATTTTACAAGCAAAATTGCAATATATTCTCCTCATTTTCATGTGAGGATTTGTGTTTATCTTTGTCATATATGATTGCAAATTCAATATTTTATGCTTCTCATGTCGGTCAGAAAAAAGACATTTGTTTTCAGTATTTTTTCACTATTCTTTGACGTTGCATAGCTGGGATCAACCGACTGGCATTTTTCAGATAATCTGTTTTGTTATTTTCTCTGACTGATTGCTAAAATAAATAAACAAATCTGAAAATGCCCTACATTGTCTCTGATGTCACATCTCTGTGGTCTTAAGCAACGTCCCGTCAACTTGATCTGATTGGTTACACGTCATGAGTAATAACCTATCAGTCCTACAAGAGGGAGGAGCAACAAACCCCCAATTGAAGCCGAAACTCAAGTGTTAATGGCTCCTTAAGGATATAAGTATCTGGAACTCCCAACTAGTCCGTCAGAACTGATGAAGCCTCTTGGATGAGAGGTGAAACGTCTTCAAGAAACTCAAGCAACTCCAGTTGCTACGATTAAACTACGAGAATAACATATCTCTATGTTTCCATAGAGATGGTGGTGCACAGCGTCCCCTTCAAGAGACAACGAGAGTGAAAGTTTTGAGTGTGTTGTCTATCCCAGATGTTCATTCTGCAGAACTTACAGCTGAGAGACTTTGCTGAACATCAGGGCAATGAACGTTGCTAAAATTGTGGCGGCTGGTTGGGATTTGGACATATTACACCAACACGGAGTCCCATCAGAGACTACGAAGACAGTTACCCGAGAGAGAAGGAAGCGCAAGCGGTACAAACGTAAAAAAAAAAAAGGAGAAGGAAGAGAGCCGGGATCCATGCTGGGAGAAACCCACAGAGAGTGGAAAGATTGCTGTGTTTGCTTTTACAGAAACATGGCTCCATGACAACATCCCAGACGGCCATACAGCTGGAGGGACATCATTCCAGACAGACAGGCATCTAGCTCTGAACTTTTCCAGAGCAGCTGCAGGAGCAGGACACTGTCCACTGTCAGCGACTCCTCACACCCTCTCCATAAACTGTTTGAACTGCTGCCATCAGGGAAATGTTTCGGAGCACTGAAGAAAGAACCTCCAGACTGATCAACAGCTTCAACAGCTTCATTCCACAAGCTGTCAGAATGCTGAACTCTTGATCCGGACATGCAAACACTTCTTTATTTAATTGCTTTTAGCTTTTGGATCCAGAAGAAACACTCTCTCATCTTGTTTGTACTACTATTGTATGTACAGCAAAATGACAATAAACTTGATTTGATTTGATATAAGTTGTTTAGATGTTTTACAAGTTATGTGGCCAGTGTTTAATGATTTTGCTGTCTTTAAGTTGAATTTTAGCTCACACGTGCAGGTGAAGCGGGTTTGACTCCAGCCTGTCATGAACTAGCTAGGCAGCTACGCTGAACTGCGCTGTTTATATTCTTTTCCGTGCTTGCTGTAGCGGGAGACAGACTTTAAGTTCCCGTCCGGTGAGACAAGGAAACGAGATCCAGACCTGGGGATATTCCAGCGGGGTGTCTGAAACTTTTATTTGTTGTAATAGCCTGGATTGTGCGAGACATCCCGATGTGATGGAGGAGCTGTGTCCACCCACTCAGTGCCGATTTCTACTGCCAGGACTGACTGCGGCTGTGGAGTACTGACTTGGATTCTCCATTCTCGAGCAGGATTTGGATCTCATGTAAGTAAGATATTTCCATCACTTGTGACTGAGAAGACCACTTCTAAAACTGACTTTTGGATCGAGTTAAAGTTGTACACAACTAAATTGAGGGACAAATAAATCAATAAATAAATAGAAATAAATAAAACTAATTTAAAATGTATTATGCGGAACAATGAACAATTACTAAAGGGAACAAGTCTCTCTATTTTCAAAACTGGGTTGTGTTACACCCACTCAGAGACTAGCTTCATAGAAGACACAAATGGGTAAGCAGTATAACATCTTTCAATTTTAAAGCTCAGTGATAGAGTCAGTCCATACAACATTTAAAAACGTTTTATTACAAAAAATACTAAAATATACACCAATATGAAAAATGACAAACTTTAATACCCGGTTTGTTAGTCTTCTACTTTCCTAACAACTACTGCCTTCAACAGAGCAGTGAAGTAAATCTGAAATGAATAAAAAACAGTAAATGTACGGCGCACTAAACACGACATCACTAAAAAAACATTTAGATACAAAAGAACAGAATTTGCCTACGGTTTCTTTTCCTGCACCTTGTGCCTCCTGCACGCCCAATGTGAAATGAGGTGTGCACCTGCCTCATTCCACCGGCCCTACACCAATAGCGGAGCATGTGTTCCTCCTGCAGGTAACCATTTGTAGCGTCTCTGATTGGCGCACCTACCACCAGCCACAGATGAAAAGAACATAATACTCAGAAAAGATCTTTTTAACAATGGAGGTCAATTGTCCTATGAGGTGTTTCTTCAGAAAGAAGCATTTCCTGTCAAACCTAGATAATATAGATCTGTAGTTAATTCTATTCCTACTGGTTTGATAGAACTAATGAAAGGATATAATAAACAGCATGAGACTCCTAACCCTCAATGTACACTTTACATAAATGGAATTCAATTTGAGTTACAAATGCATCAATGAACATATCAAGAAATGTTTTTATAACGATAGAAAGATAACACAGGGTGGAAAGGCTTATTGGAATCCTCAATTTAAAGACATAAATTGGTGTAGAGCATGGCGTGTCCCCTTTAAATTCTTATGATCTAACAAAATAAGAGAACTACATCTTAAATTGTTATACAACATCTACCCAACAAGTATATACATTTCTAGATTGTGAGATGCTGACCATAAATGCACTTTCTGTAAAATTGAAACTGAAAGTACCATACTTATTCTATCAGTGTTTAATTTGTGTTACTTTTTGGAAAGACTTTGACGCATTTCTGTTTAACAAAACTGCAGTTAAGTTTCAATTTGAAGAGAATGAGCATTGTTTTTGTTTTTTTTCTTACAAAGCAATAAGCATAACATTAGCAACCTTTTAGTCTTATTTGATAAATTCCACATTCATAAAGCTAAGATGTCAAAAGCAACCCCATCATTTAATTTATTTTTAATTGAATTGAAACTTTGTTTTCAGTCTCTGAAATGTTAAACAGCACCTTCAATTTTATTCAGAGTACCTTGATTGAGATTCTCTGCCACTTCGTATGTTATTTTTGTCTTGTTATCGCCTTTTTTTTTTTTTTTTTTTAAATTTTCCCCGTCCTTATGCATCTACGTCTTTCAGCTGCGTTTTGGAATGTCTGAATGTTTGTATATATGTTCCTATATTGTTCCTACTATAATACACTATTCATTGTTGAACTTAAATAAAGATCTGTGGAAAAAAAAAAAAAAAAATCGTCCGCCAAGCACTACCACGTAAGTCCCATGTCCGGCTCTGACTTTCAAAATAAAACCACAACTCATCAACGCCCCACAATCTTCATCTCTAAACAGACTAAATGGCTTGGCGAAGAAAGACAGATGTGTGCCACGAGTCTGCTCTGACAGAGAACAAATTATTATAGTCATTTCTCTTGTACTTAATAAATGGAAATTTAGCAGATAAAAAAAACAAACAAAAAAAAAACAATCTGTGTAGTAGTGATTACTCAGATCAACAGCTAAAGGGAGCTGGAGCCTCGGAAGAGGGGGTAAGGTTTCGTATCGTACATAAACAGTGTACCTATGTCCACAACTAGTAGCTGAACAGCATGAAGAAGGTTCATGATGGGGAGTAAAATTCATGGTTGAAAATCTATCAATCTGAGATGACTGAATTTTTTTTTTAAAATGCAAATGACACAGCTTAAATGACTGTATTGAGAACAGTAAGAGAAACTTAAACTGTAGCAGTTCATTCATCAAGCAATGTTTCTTCACTGACATGTTATTGTCTGTACGTAATGAAAACGAAGTAAAGCTTTTATTTTGAAGACAGTAAGGCTCTCCCCGGTACTGTGTTGTTGGAACTTGACACAGCTCGCATCCTGCTGCAATCTTGAACAGGGGTGACTGATGAGTGCAGTGTTGTGGGCTCGGCTACATTTTTACTTTACGTAAATACCCACAGTGTTTCACGGAATATTTTCTCCTGCGGTGAAGTGTTTCACCTTTGTCGAGGATGTCTGTGGCCGGACTGAAGAAACAGTTCCACAAAGCCAGTCAGGTATGGAGACGACTGTTACTGCTCGTTCGTAACAACGGTTGTTTGGATGCGGACCGTGTTTTCAGCGAACCGCAAACTGGCTCTAGGTGATGAAAACACAGGAACTTTAAATTCTGACATTTAGCGATGGTGGAATGTGGCGCCTGTTAAGTTTCCGTTTCGACATGAAAGCCATCTGTGTAGCGGTACTTTTTCATCCGGATAAGTTGGTTTTAAAAGGAGACAACGTCACAACCAAACTCCGCTGAAAAAATCGGAAATTTAATCTACGTTAACATATTGATAAACGTGTATTCATGTTTTTCCATAATTTAAAAGTCTCTACGAATTACTGACATCCAGTCTATAATCCGGCTTTGTTTTTAAGGTGTAATTTATTTACTTGGCAACACACCATTTTGGTAACTTGTGAAATGTCAGACAGGCTGTCGTTGTCCCCACGCTGGTATCAGTGGGAGAAACTGGAAATGTCGTGCCGAGGGAAGATGGAGAGAAGTGTCAGGTTTTGATTATTGAATATATACAATATGCAAAGGGTGTGTAATATTTTATGTTGTAGCATTGTAACAGTGACTATTTCTGTTGTGGTGGTCGTGACGTTATCTCTACACGAGAAATAAGCGTGTCTGAATAATTACATTTGAGAACTTGAGGAGAACCGCTCGTAAAGCCTGCTTTAAAAAACAAGGATTGGCGATGTTGTGTTTGCTGTCAGGACTTGGTTAACTCTATATAGTGAACGTAGCTAACTGTGTTTTGTTCGATTGTGTCTCCTAATTTGTGCTCATCCCAGGCACCGTTTTGACTGCTTTATCGGGTAAATTTCACACAAGAACCCGATGTGGTACAGCTGTTTTCTCTAGACTAGCCCGGTGTTTGGAAGTTGTTCTGCCTCTACCACAATGCCATTTAAAGGCAGGTGGACTGATAGGAGGAGACAATCACCCATCAGGCCTCCTTATCAGAACCATCACAAACACACACACACACACACACACACACACACACACACACACACACAGGTTGTATCTATTGTTTAATCTGGACAGCATCCATTAGTCGTAAATATGATTTAACAGTAATCATAAAAACATCATTATTGAATGGAAGGGCCTGATACTCCCACAACCTCCTGCCACCAAAATACACCATCATGGGTGGCTGTGAGTAAATGTGAACCACGTTTATCATTTAAATGACATGTCAGTGGAAACAATGCTGTCTGTGGATTGCCTGTTTGTCTAAATGAGCTCTTATTGATTAATAATTGTCCTCGACCTTGTTTAAACCTTTACGAATCTCTGTCTTTGTTTCAAACAAGAAAGTAAGCACACATTTTTCAGGTTGAAAATACTTGCATTTCGATATGTTGAAATGAATTTATTCTTGTCCCCTGACTGTCATAAAAGGATGCCTCCATGTGTTATGTGCTCCAAGTAGCTACACAATGCATGGTGGGAACAGAGGAAACATAGTAAAGTCAGGTGTTTACATTTCTGTAGCTTTTTTCAGACATTGGATACACAACAGTGCTGCTTAGTCAGTCAGTTTAAAGTGACAGAATTCTGTCATTCAGACATAGGTCACTTTTCCGTTAATGTTCCTCACAGATTCATTCAGACATACTCACGACAGTGACAGAGAGAACCATGGTACATACTGGCATGAACAGATATCTTCTATTTTTGCGCATTTGTTACATATAAATGTTTCACATCATCAAATAACCCAAGAAAACACCTTTTCTTTTTTAATGATGATTTCTTTTTTTGAAGGAAAAATGCTGTCCAGTATGGCTTAAAGTATTCCAGCACCATGCCAGATTTCCGCCATGCGGTGTTTGACTCTGAAAAAAAAGATAGGGCTACATTGCCAATCGAGTTTGTCTACCAATGGAATGAGGGGAACGTAGCTTTTGCTGTCAACCAAACTAATATCACTTGCCAATGGGAACTAGAGTGGGTCTTAGAAAGACATTAAGATCCAGCTGCAGTTGAGTCTATACCGGGGTTTCAGAGTTCTGTACGCTGATATCAGGAGCATGGAGAACAGATTCTTGAAGCCAAGGAAGATGTCCTCATTGATAAAGGAATTAAAAATAAATGGCGCTGGGCATAGTTGGAAGAGTTAAGCAGAGACTGCGAGCCCTTTGGTTGCTGGTGCAAAACACTGAAGAAGCCAGGTGCTTGCTTCTGTATCATCTGCTCAAAAAATCTCATGTACGCAACTAGTGGCAAACAAGTGCTGTCAGATCATGAGTCAGACCCCGGCCATAATGCTGCTGTCTGCTCTGAAACTCACAACTTGTTTGTTGGGAGTAGCAGCCACCGCAGAGGTAACGGCATCAATGACTGACCGGGTTTGCACAAACACGACTTGTTGTTCACCATATCTCAGCCACTTGTTAATCTGTGCAAAACGTTGGCTGAAGATAAAAGCACTTAGTAAAAACTGTCTGTGTCAAATCAGCGTGCTAGTTACATAAATACACATGATATAGCAACAGCATTTAAGAAAAGTCTTTCTGAAAAGCTCAAAAAATGTGTGTTTTCGTTGAATGTTGATGAATTATTGTATTTCAAAACTAGAAAAGTACTTGCAGAGCGCAGACCTCCACCAAGCAGCTCATTTCCATCATATTGTGATTTCCAGCCAATGTTAAAGTCCTGCATTCATTTTATCTCCACTGTCAGATTTCTGGATAATCCAAATATACCTTGAACATTTGAATTAACATTGATATCATTAATAACAAGCTGACGGAGTGATGAGTGGTTGATCTGTACTTTCAAATATTTTGTAAGCTGTTAGCTAAAGCTATGCTAGGTTGGCATAACTACAGCGAAGTTATTGCTAACATAAACAGACAGGGAGTAACTTAAGCTAGCTTAGCACAACTTTAACAATGTAAATGAACAGTATGACCAACGCAAGCACGCGTCAGTCATCATGACACATGGCAAAGACAATTGAAGTGAAACAGGAGACAAGTTGTGTCATTGTTAATGGCACAATGTTGTTATGAACTTATCTATCAGTAGCTCTGCTCAGCCCACTCCTGTAATGTAGACTGGCTGTAGCTTACTCCTGTACTACTGAGAAGACAGCAGCGAGGACTGAGGACTGAATGGAGTCAGAGCTCCAACCAGTGGACAAACGGTGCAAGGACAGCATTCTGTACGACTGTGACACTTAACAGCACTGCTTTATGAGAAAATAACCAGATGGTAAGCCAGAACATCACCAAATTCAGTCATCTGTTCATTGTGCCATTATCAACATTTCCTGAAAATGTCATCAAAACCTGTTCATAACTTTTTGAGTTATGTCACTAACAAATAAACAGATAAACGCCGGCTAAAACATAATCTTCTTGGTGGAGGCAATAAATAGTGCAAATGATGCACATATTGTTAAAGGGGGACTCAATGTCCGTTTTCCATGTCTTTTACTGATTGGTTGCTAAACAATATATTTGCACCATGTTGTAGTCAGATGGAGTACCTACCATGACCTACTGACCTTCTTTGGTATTACTATAATCTGTAGTCTGAGTTTGCAAAGGCAGATATCTTAATATCTTACTTATTAGCTAGATTGTACTCCAACCCCAACCCAAAAGCAAAAAAAGTTCAGGCTCAAGATTGTTTTTCACTTTAAGCCCTGAAAAAATAATTGCCCCTTAGCTCCCTACCAATCGACCAAATGATCAAATGAATTTAGCAGCTGTGTTCAGTTTCACCAGTCACACCCCTGCATGATTACTTCCAGGCTTGTTGAATCTGAACATCACTTCAATAAAACCTGTCTGGCATTGTGAAGTAGGCTAAATGGTCTCAAAAAGCAGCACATGATACCGGGCAGGCGAATATTTGGATATCAAAATTGGTATCCGGATCCCACCACAATGACCGAATATTCAGATATTCGGGTCCAACCCTAGCTTAAAAACCCTCTAATGTTGCAGATTAAAAACTATTCTGTAGACAAGAATGGGCCAGAGTTCCTCCATGTTGATGTAAAAGACTGATCACAAACTATTGCAAATGTTTAGCTGCAGTTATTGCTGCTAACGGCAGCCCAACCAGTTACTAGATTTTGGGGGGCAACTACTTTTTTACATAGGGCAAGGTAGGACTGGACAGCATTTTTCCTTCAAAAAAATGAAGCCATTTAAAAACCACATTTTGTGTTTTCTTAGGTTATTTTTGTCTGGCATTAAAATTAGTTTGATGATCTGAAATATTCAAATGTACAAAATATAGAAGACATGTGTCAGGGGGGTAACACCTTATCACAGCACTTGACCTCAGATTAGGATTGTCACAGTGTCTTGTATATCACTGATGTCCACACCAGCTACCATAGGTTATCTAACTAGTGAGAGCAAGCTGACGTTGGTGATGACTTAACATCTGGGTGAGTCATAACTCAGGCCACACATTGCAGATTCATTGTCTAATTCACTCTTCTGTTCCATCGCAGAGAGGAAATCGCATGTTGCATCTGTGAGTTTATGCAGGGGAACATGAATATTGTTATACATCTGATTACTTGTGAAAGTATTCCCATGTGCACAGGATAAATGTCAATCAGCCACTTCCTGTTTGTGTTTCTGTCTGTGTTTCTCTTTGTAGCTGTGGTGTACGAGAGATACAGTTTCTCTTTCACTGCCTGTACAAGAGATGAAATAGAGGTCAGGTCTCGTAACATAGTAATGTTGTCCACTTTAATTTTCTTTACTTTTATTCATCACAAGTGATAAACCGTGAAAATCAGTGCAAAACATTTCAGGCTTTTCTGACATTTACGTCACCTGCAGTGGTTTCCTGCAACTGGCAACACAGCGAGAAAGTAACAGACTGTGTCAAACAGACTTATAACCCCTTCTGAAAATCAATAAAAAGAATAGTTTTTAGGGAATGTGTTGTATGTTTTGAAATTATTATTTTGTATTTCACCTGCTTCCTTATGTGGAAATGGGACAGTGACCTGTCAGG